GTATCTGATTTGACATCACAGGTATTGGGAGTGCTGTCTTATAGGTGACTGAACTATGCTCCAATTTAATAAAAGGAAACAAGATAATTTAAGAACCCTTATAAAGTGGAGCTTGTAAACCTAAGTAATTAATAGCTTGCTATGAAATTTTATTTGTAATACTCATTATTTTTGAGATATTACATAGATATCTATAAATCTTTGAAATTAATAATTTTAAATTTTCTAACTCCAAGCTGATACATTTTTATTTCCAATCATAATAGATGAAAAGCCCACTGAAAAACTTTTTTATAAATTTTTATAAAAAGTATTAGAGAATGTGGAATTTTTGATTTGTGTGATCCTACATTTGTCTTATTTAACCTGCTACTTTTTTGTAAATGAGGTAATTGACTAGAAAGAAGTTGTTCCATGTCCACAGCAGTTAATACTAACTGAACATCAAGTCGTTTTTGTTATATTTGCCAGAATATTAAAAAATGTATAGTGTTTTAGTTATCCATAGCTGTGTAATAAGTTATACCAAAACTTAGTGGCTTAAACCAACAAACATTTATAATGTTACAGTTTCTGTGGGTCCAGAATCTAGGTATAGCTTCGCTGAACGCTTCTGGTTTAAGGTCTCATGGGATTGCAGTCAATCTGTTATCCAGGGCTGTGACCTTAAAGGCTTTAACTGGGTAGGGAGATTCTACTTTCAAGCCAACTTGTGATGTTGGCTTTCATTCCCTTGTCACATGTACCTTTCCACAGGACTGTCTCAAGTCATGACAACTAGCTTGACCCACGGCAAGCAATGCCAAAGAAAGAAAGAGAGAAATGGAAGCTAGACATTTTATAACCAAATCTCTAAAGTGACATCCCATCATATTTCTTGTATTCTATTTGTTAGGTTGAGAGAAAAGGACCAGACAGGGTATGACTAGCAGGATAAGAAATCAACACAGGCCCTCTTGGAGGCCACTTCGTGCCTACTCCATGCCCATAAAAATACATTAAAGGCTTGTCACAAAAGTAAAGTATTTGTTATATAACTACTGTAAAACATCAAAAAAAAAAGTTGGAATGTGGTTATGTAAGGGTGTGTCCTTGTACTTAAGAAATATATACTTGCCTGTAATCGCAGCACTTTGGGAGGCCGAGGCGGGTGGATCACGAAGTCAAGAGATCAAGACCATCCTAGTCAACATGGTGAAACCCAGCCTCTACTAAAAATACAAAAATTAGCTGGGCATGGTGGCGTGTGCCTGTAATCCCAGCTACTCAGGAGGCTGAGGCAGGAGAATTGCCTGAACCCAGGAGGCGGAGGTTGCAGTGAGCCGAGATCATGCCATTGCACTCCAGCCTGGGCAACGATAGTGAAACTCTGTCTAAAAAAAAAAAAAAAAAAAAAAGAAAGAAAGAAAGAAAGAAAGAAAGAAATATACACTGAAGTCTTGAGGCTTAATTGGGGAAGATGGTTCAAACATATGCACCCTCTCCCACACCATACATACACATACACACAAACACACACACTCTCTCACACACACACACACAGAGAACAATTGAGGAAGAGAGACAGAGAAAATTTTTTTAAAATGTTACAAAATGTAAACAAGTTTTATTACTTTCCCAGAGCTGGCTATAACTAATGACCTTAATCCTGGTGCCTTAAAACAAAATGAGTTTATTCTCTCACAGCTAGAAGTCCAAAATGAAGGTGTCAGCAGAAATGAGCTCCTTCCAAAGGCCATTTTTGTCTCTTCTAGCTTCTGATGATTGTCTGCATTCCTTGACAGTAGGGGAAACATTCTAATATTTGCCTAGTTGTCACTTGGCCTTTTCTCATCTTTGCGTCTTCTCTTCTGCCTCTTTCAAACCCCTCTCTGCTTTTGTCTTGAAGGATACTTGCCATTGGATTTAGGGTCTATCCTAAACCAGGATGATCTCCTCATCTTAAGATCTTAATTCCCTCTGTGAAAACCATTTTTTTTTAAAGTAAAATAACATTACTAGGTGTCAGGAAGTATGCATAAACATATATTTTGTGGTTAGCCACTCACACCTTACAGGAGTATGAAGTAATTCCTTGTACAATTCATGTAACTTTTCTGTAAGTATACAATTATTTTAAAGTAAAATATTTTTTTAAAAAACAAAAAAAAAAACCCAGAAATTACATTGTCAAATGGTATACTACCAAAAATCATGACATCTCACTAGCCAATTTTCTCGTAAAAATAAGCTGAAAAATATGTACAGATATATCAGTCAGAATAAGGTATTTTGTGAATTTATATTTCATTATCACTCACTCTTTGAAGTCAGTGGAGATTATGTGATGTCAAAACTCTCTTCTACATTGGCCTCTCAAACTTTTGCTTTAATATTCTTATATTCCAATATTACAGTCTTTGTAGAAGAGCTAAATGAAATCTCTATGATGTTAATTGCCACAAGATGACAACTTTATCTCAGATAATAGAGTCAAGAGACCCAAAGGAATATGCTTTTTTTTGTTTTATCTCTGATTAGTTTGCTTGTGTTCTTTTTAAAAGTGTACTGACTTTAAGAATCATTCTTTTTTGTTTCTTAAATATTTTGCCCAAAATTTGCTAATTTCTTATGTACGTATTGAGTTAAAGTTTCCTTATGTAGTATCTTCACTATGTAAAATGATAAATGAAGGAATCCAACTAGATAAGTTTGTAACCAATAATAGACCCAAGACCAGCATTCCATTAAAAACAGCTGCAGGAAAGAATATGCTTATAGGCATGCACACACATATGTACAGAAGTTTAATGCTGTACTTTGATAAATGGAGTATCTGAAGAAATAGTGATGGAAGGCAAACTGCATTACTAGCTCTAGGAATTAGCTATTTAACAATTGGAATCAGTCACTCTAGGCTACATGAGCCTCTTGAGGCTTTCTGGTTGTGTTTTTAGTATTCGATCTTCAGTATCTAGCACATTGTTTATGTTAAATAAATACTGGCTACATAAATCTATGCATCATGAGTGATTTAATGATTTAATCTACACAACAGCCAAATATAGTCAAGCATAAATGCACTGACATTAAATCAAATAATCATGGGGATGATGAAACTTATAGCCCAAATGTGTGTAAATGTGTACACATACATATGATTCTTTATTTTCTTGGACAGTCTTTAATAATTGTGGAATCATAGATTCTAAAGCTGAAAGCAACCTCAGGTGGTCATCTGGTTCTATGCCTTTCTTCAAGAGACAAGCAATTATTATCCCTATGATCTATTAAGCCACATTTTCTTTAGCATGTGACAGCTAAGGTGATGATGATCGAAAAATATTGCTCTTCATTCTTAAACAATTTCACATGCACATAGATGTTTAACAAGTACCTTTCCATAGCTATTATGAGAAGACACTAGCAGCCTTGGTTGGGAAGAGTAATTTATGAAAGCTAGGTAAATGGTGTCCAAGATCACCTTGCTCACATTAGCCATGCAGCATCCCTGCCCCTGCATGGCCATCTTTCTTTAACCCTGGTGACAAGTGTGATTAAACAAAAAATACCACGAGTCCTACTTTACTTGCTTACTCTTTCTTCTTCTAGTTCTTGCTGCCTCAGATCATCTGTCTCAGTAAGTTAACATAGGAGGGAGTAGAAGGAGAAACTGCGAAGGAGTGAGTGTGAGAGGAGGGTAGTTAATAGGAGGCCTTCTGGCCATTACTCCCCTCCGCAACTTTTCTTTCCCTTTGGTTCATTAACTAGAAATGTGGCAAGGTGAGGACAGAATATAACTTGTTCTGACATTAGTGAGGGACAGGGAAGTGTGGCAGCTTCTACAATATTTCTGCCCCAGAGAGACGTAATTGGAAAACGTGTTGTGTGGTTAGGTGTTGTAATGAAAAATAAAAGAATGATTGAAGAGAACAGTGGAATCAAATTATAAGCATAAGGCAAGTATGCTGAAGTTTTTAGCCACTTGCAAAATTGAGAGATACTATCAGGACTGTGCAAATACATTGCTCTGATTAATTTTCCTGAGGTGAAATATGAAGATATTTATAAAATTGAGGATCCTGCCATGAATAAAATTTTCTCTGTGATTATCATAATCTAAAATAAGCCATAACTTGTATCTGTCTTATGTGAAACTGTAAAAATGGTTAAATAATAAAACACTGAATAAAAGAATTTCACTGTAAGAGGTGAAAAGAATCTGTATTCATGCGCTACTCTACATTGCTTAAAACTTTGAAGAATAGTCAATAAATAAAGACTAATTTATCTTGCAGGGTTATTTTATTTGATTCCCTGAATATTGTTACAGAAGTAGCATTTTATTACTCTTCCTTCATACCATTTTTCATATATGGAAGCTGTAATTGTTTAATATGAAGGTAAAAGGTCTTCAAGTGCAAAAAAATTGGATCTTTAATTTTAATGATAATGAATAATTCAGTTATAATTCAGAAATACACATTTGGATTCTAGTTCTTCTTTTTAGATGTAAAGTGAAAGATTTTATTTTACATTCTTTTGTAAATTCCTTAAGAATACATTTGAGCCAATCATTGATATAAAGGAAGGGTTAATAGAGAAAGAAGCTTCCTAATATACAGCCCCTCTCTTATATAGGGCTCTAGAAATATTCTATTGTCAATCCAAACAGAACAAACTAAAATGAGATAATTGGGAAGGTGCCCATAAAGTCAGCTTGAATATATTATCACAACTATATATGAGATAATATTTGTTTTAAAAAGATTCTATGGCACTGTAAACTCAGTCTCATTAGAGACTGCATTTAAAAGGCTTATAAAGTTACTCATTAATGTTATCTTGTTGTATCTCCACAGCTTTTTCATTAAAGAAAATTCAGCAGAAAGCATTTTCTCCTGATAGCAGGAACCAATTTGCAATAAATGTTCTGGAAACCACTAGGGAAGCCATTACTGAGGTCTAATAAAAACAGACAAGCGTAACTTGTTCTATATTTTTGTTTCAATCATATACAGATGAGACCCCGCTTTCTACACCAACCGCAAGAGACAGCCTTGACAAACTTTCTCTAACTGGGCATGGACAACCACTGCCTCCAGGTTTTCCATCTCCTTTTCTGTTTCCTGATGGACTGTCTTCCATAGAGACCCTTCTGACTAACATACAGGTAGGCCTTTGTACAATCTGGAAGAAAAAAATATGGAACACCCAATTGCAGATTTTTCCCCAAAATTCATACTGTTTCTACTTTACCCATTCATTAGATTGACTGAACCATGGTATTAAAGTTTTCAAGCAACTTAGATTTTAAACTTGTTACACTTATCAAATTGGGTTAGAAATATTCACATGTGTATGTATATTAAGCTATAATAAAATCGTAAATGAAAATGACATAGGCATTTAAAAATCATTCTGTCTAAAATGCTCTCTTTATTACCAACTAATGGGAGGAATTTAACTGTTTAAGTTTGTCTGATTTTACTCAACAACGGCACACTAGTTCTAATAAATATTTAGTTATTTTTAAACTGCTGGGCTTCCAGTGAGGAAATGATATGTTTATTCATTTAAAATATGTCTAATTTAGAAGAATACAAAAAATTCCTTCTTTCATAAATAAGTTTGTTTCAATTAATAGAGTTTCTTCAAAGAACAGACTTCAAAAAGCCTTACGAAACTTTCCACGGATTTCCTATGTGGTCCTCAGGATGTATATTTTATGTACAGTACATTATGAATCAAAAATACTTACAGTTAACAATAACATGGAGTGTGGAGCCAAGATAATAAGAGTGTTTGGGATAGAAGAAAGCAAAATTTTCTTGCCCACACATGAAGTGATTATGTGGACCCCAGATGGGGATTTTTGTCCTCTACTTCTCCATATTTGGGTAGCTGTAAGTAGTAGGCACAAGTTGCTGATAGTGTGCTGGTAACTCCTTTTTTAAAAATGTTTTTACTGTAACATTCCATCCCCAGTAATATTTTTCTGTACACATATCCTATCATATTAAACTTTCCCCCAGTGGAAATGTAATTAATTTTATTTACCTCTCCAAGGACATAACAGAAAGCCTTTAATGTAACATATCTTCTCATCTATTAATATGGCATTTTTTAATACTAATGTAATTAGAGTCTCCAGAACTGTACTCAACTTTAAGGTTTTATAACACAGTAATTGAAAATCGTCAATCCAGTCTATACTTAATCATGGCCAAATAGTTGATTATATAAAACAAAAGACTTTTTCTTTTCTAAATTTCACCTATATTATTGTTTTTTGTAAGATAGTGCTTTTAATGAATTTCTCTTTTGTTAAGTTAAATGTTTTCAGAAAATATCCCTTAACATTTCTGAATTTAAGTTCTGAAAAGTAAAGGAATAATTCATTTTCTTATATATAAAACTCAATATGAAGCAAAGGAAAAGCTATTTGCATGTATTGTCATTAACTGAAAGCTCTTTAACCAGGTCAGCGAGGATTTAATTTCAATTTCAGCAGAGAAAATGTCTCTGGATTTCATCGGTGTAAAACAGCATACTCATCTGAAGAGCAGGTTTGACACATGGACTTTTTCATTGTATATGACCACTACATTTCAAAGTCAAATCCTATCAGTTGAGTATTCATCCACACTCTACAGTCCAGAAATACTCAGATTAGGAATGTTATCCCACATCACCTCAAACTATAATTATTTCAGAAGGAATGAAAAAAAGAATAAAAGAAAGAAAAGAAGGAAAAGAAAACTCCAGTTTTAAAATGTACATATTTTAGACAAATTATTCCTTGAAGGTGTCTCTAGATTTAATATACTCTCCTTTCCTATTATATGCTTTGAAGGCATATTTTCGTAAGAGTAGATGATAGGACAATGGTCAAGACAAACTAAATTACTTATTTCTATTCCCAAATTATAGGGATCTGGGACTGATAAAGTTAGAACACCTACAATAAAAATGCTTTATTAAAAATAAATTAGGCTTGTCCACTTTAATCTTACTTCTATGTATGTGTATATATAGATGCAGTTATCATATACTTATATGTATGTTTACTATGCATATATTTATACATGAAGGTACATATGTGCACACAAGGTGAAATAAAAATTACAAATCTTACTGAATTCCATGCACATATATATTAAAAATAAAAATAAATATATCTATATATACACATACATTTATAAACACACACATAACACACATTTATGGTCACTAATGATTTCACATCATTTTACAAAAGCTTGCAGATGCTAACTCTTACTATTGTCACATTTACTGAGTTATGGTATTATCATAGGAATGGTATGGAATGTTTAAACAGTCATGACCCTGGATTATTAGGCATACAGTATAAATGTGTTTGCTGTCCAAATTCTAATATGGGTAATTACATTCTGCCTATGTCAATTTCCTCTGCAGTTTCAATTATATATAACAGGGTTTTGTGCTATGTCAAAATGGTAACATACTTTTTTTGTGGTAAGTTTAAAGCTCCATTTTTTTAAAGATAGGATTTTTAAAAATTAAAATTAATAACCAAAAAACCTTTTAAAGTAATGTGTTTTCATCAAGTGTTATTGTTTAATAGTCAATAATTTATATGATATCCTATAATTTGAAAAGTCTGGATTTTTAAATTTGTAATGACTACTACATAATCCTTTCCATGAAATCATCAAAATTAAATTTTTATCAGTCATTTCTTTGTGTTTTAAAAGAAGATATATAGAAAAATACTATAATTATATGTGAACATTTTCTATTAAAATTTTTATTTTAAAATATAAATTTATAAAATGTATATATATATAAATTGGGCATCAGACTTTTGCTAACTACTTGAGCTATACTGCATTCCTACATTTAAGTGCTTTATAAATTAAAAGTTATAATGACTAAAAAAATCTAAAGTAGAAAGAAAAAAAAAGACCTGTAAAAAATCCTATGTTGACATATTAAAAAATATTTAATTTTTAAATTTAGAAATTTATAAAATTTATAGATATATAAATTGGCCCCAGATTTTTGTTACTGCTTAAGCTATACTACTTCCTGACATTTGAATGTTTTAGAAATCAAAAGTGATAATGGATACAGATATCTAGGGTAAAGAATAGTAATTTAATTAAGTAAGGGATATGGATACAGTTTAGTTTTTGATTTTTAGAATTGCTTATTTTATATATACATACGGCTTTTTATTTTCATTGTGGGCAGTCTTTTATTATGGTTATCTTTCAAATCTGTCCATGGAGAACAACTTGTGAGCTTTTATGCAAGGAGACTAAAATTTTCGCGCCAATTAACTGGGTATGATGACACCTTCAGACATGGGCTGCCATTTGAACATGATTAAAGGAGAATTCTACTCACTCTTTTTTTTTTTCTTTTTTTGAGATAGAGTCTTCCTTCTTCTGTTACCAAGGCTGCATTGCAGTGGCTGGTCTGGGCTCACTGCGACCTCCGCCTCTCGGGTTCAAGTGATTCTCCTGCCTCAGTCTCCTGAGTAGCACCCCCTCACCACACCTGGCTAATTTTTTTTTTTTAATTTTAATAGAGATGGTGTTTAACCATGTTGGCCAGACTTGTCTCACACTCTTAACCTTAAGTAATCCACCCACCTTCAAAAGTGATGGGGTTACAATAGTGAGCCATCGCACCCAGCCCTACTCCCTCTTTTTAATCTAGAAACTTTTGACACAAGGTTTTGAGCAAATTATTTACTTTGTTTATCTATCTTATTACAAAAAGCCTTAAAAATGGCTTACTAAAATAAGAATAGGTAAATAACTAAAAAGTGAAAATGTAAAGTATGAGTAGAGAATATAAAATTTAGTTAGGAGTGAGGTTAGCATTGAAGATATTTGCCATAAGGAGATATATGATCGGAGGTGGTTCACTATAGTCTATCTACGTGGAAGAATTAAGCAAACAAGAAAGACCTAAAATGTATGTTAAAACCACAGTAGCTTCAGCTTGGCTGGATGCTGTGACTCACACCTGTAATCCCAGCACTTTGGGAAGCTGAGGCAAGAGGATCACTTGAGGCCAGGAGTTTGGGAAGAACCTGAGAAACATAGGAAGACCCCATCTCTATGAAAATATAAAAGTTAGCTGGGCATGGTGGTGCATTCCTATAGTCCCAGCTATTAATACTTGTTAGGATGAGGCAGGAGGATGGTTTGATCCTGGGAGTCGAGGCTACAATAAGCCGTGATGGCACCACTGCACTCCAACCTGGGTGACTGAGACTTTATCTTAAAAACACATACACACACAAAAAAAAAATGGCAGAATAAATGGACATAATCCAACCTTGGTATCAAGGAGGAATTATTTCTACTGTGTTTGTGGAAATAAAATGAAAAAAATTAAATATAAGACTGAACTACAATCATGCATTGCTGACTCTGGGGATCCATTCGGAGAAATGAATCATTGTACAGTTGTAGTTGTGCAAATATCATAGAGTGCACTTATACAAACCTAGAAGATATAGCCTACTATACACCTAGCTATACGGTATACCGTATTGATCCTAGGCTATGAACCTGTATAGTGGATTACTGTACTGAATACTGTAGATAACTGCAGCACAACAAAATAGCAAGTATGTGTGTCTAAACATAGAAAAGGTACAGTAAAAATATGATATTATAATCTTAAGAGACCATCATCATATATGCTTGTGAATCAAAAAATTGTTATGGAGGTGAGTGACTGTACTCTGATTATCCATCTCAGTTCTTTACATTTCAATATCATGGTCAATAATTTTACTTTATTTTTTAATATATTTTAAAATAAAATAATTTTCTTATTTACATTATTAATACATGCTTGTAATTAATATTTAATTATATTATAATTAATATAATGTATAAATTATATATAATAAAATGCACAATATAATTATATATAATTAATATAAGTAATAATATAATTATAGATTTATGTTCACATTTAATATATTATTTTTTATACTATAATATAAAATTTGTTTATAATAATTTATTATATAAATATGATTTTGATCATAATTTAATTATTGATGCATAATTTAATTATAATACATCATGATATATTATATACTATATAATTAATTAGGAGAAGACTTTGCATAAACCCCAACAAAATAGATATTGACTTCAA